TCCCCAAAAATATAACCAAAAAATGCCAAACACACTGGTCTCTCATTCCTGTGCCATGCTGTGTTGTCTGCCCTGCACCACCTGGCACAAGTTGCATTGTATGATCACAAAGAGACACACTGGGGATAGAGAGGAGGGGGGATAAAGAGCCTGGAGCACTGGGAGACAAAAGGATGGATATTTCGAGGCAGATGGTCAGATGTTCCTGAAAGGGCTTATGGTGATTTCCTCAAAATAAGCTGCGGGCAGAAACCCAGCCTCCCCCTTCCTTGTCTTATCCAGCCCAGCTCTGTGTGGCTTCCTCCGCTTTCCTCTGGGGTTTTCCCCCACATTTCACCATCAGCTTCCTCCCTGCACACACACACAGCCCCTGGGAGGCAGGGACAGTGCTGGGGTCTGCTGTCCCTCACAGCTCTCCTGCCTGGGCTGGCCTTGTCCCCACCACTCCCAGGGTGGGGATGGATGCTCCAGGGGCACCTCCAAACTGGCAGCCAACAACGTGCTGACGTGCAGAGGGTTCAGCTGACATGTTTTAACACCTAACAACATATCACTCACTCAGTAGCTCTCCTGCTACACTGAGTAACCACCCGGAGAGCCAAGATGCTTAACAAGGCATGTGGTTTATCGCAGCATTCCCACATGGCTTAGACACGCTTTGAATTGCAAATCAACCAAGGGCTTAGTGATGATGGACACCTCAAGCAAGGCATATTTTTGTTGGTTTAGTGGGCAGGTGTTTAAATACAGCTGCGTGGTTTTTGTACTGCTTGTGCCTGACAGTGCATTAACTAAAATTACCGTATCAGATAACCGCGATATCGAGCGATGCTGCAGCACAGACTGTTGGCAGCAACTCATCCCAACTGTTTCCTGGTCATCCTTTTACTTTGCCTGCAATTCTTCAGGAACACTTCACCCCCTCTTCAAGTTTCTGCCTGGAGTTTTCAAGCAGAGACGGGGATGGAAGGAGATGGAAGGTCAGGCTTGGCTTTGAACAGTTCAGAGAGAGGAGATTTAACACATCAAGTTGTCTATAAAGCTGCTTTTTTTTTTCAGTATAGCATTTTAAAATGATTCAGATAACATGAGTCACAGTAACAAGCCTGGGCTGGATCTCTTTAGATGAAAAAAAAAAGTGCCATAAGAAAATGCTATAGACTTCACTGCCTTGTCCTGGATTCTATTTTGGAGGACTGATGACATTTGGGATTCAACCATATGTCTGGCTGATTCTGTAGCACATACAGATCTGGTAGGTATTCAGGAGTGTAGAACATACAGATCTGGTAGGATTTGGGAGATGCAGCACAGAGAGATCTGGTGGGAATTGGGAGATGCAGCACATACAGATCTGGTAGGAATTCAGGGATATCGAACATACGGATCTGGGAGGAATTCAGGGATGTAGAACACAGAGATCTGGTAGGTGCCTCTGCTGTGGCACATATGCTGCTCTGGAACGGGAATTCATGGCTATTCCTGCTGTTCTCCAAACCCTGGGTGCCTTTGAAGTGAGATTTACATAACACCAAACCCTTGCTGCTTATTTGCACTGGGCTGAAAGAGGCCTAAAGGAACACCTTTGGAACACTCCTTTTAAAAGGATGATTTAACACTCAAAACAAAGCAAACCTTAAGTGTGCTCACTGAAGGGACAACCCTTGCCCACAGCAGGGAAATGTGACAGAGCAGGGATCACCCTGGCACTGATTTACAGCCATCTGGGGAGCACTGGCTTGGTGAAGATTCCTGCAGCTCCAGGGAGACTGGAGAACAAGGCATACCCAAAAGTAATGCTAAGAAGAGCTATTAAGGCACTCTGCCCCTGCTCTGCAGTCTGTATGGTCACTTGAGGTTTGTGTTTTGGTTTGCTGTCGCCTTCTTGTAATTTAGAACATGCTACTTGCAGCATTGTGCCACAGAGAGGAGAATAAATCTGTCTTAGCAGTGATTTAAGCAGCCACATTGATCTCTTGCCCACAGTCAATACACGTAATAATGTCAGAACCTCTCACACAGTCTCCAAGGACTCAGCTTCTGCCTTAAAATTTGTTGTCATCCTGCTTCGTGCCTGAGGGATAGACCTGAATCTCTTGTGTTTAGTGGGTGAGAAAAAGCCTGCTGTGAACAATTTCTGAGCAGTGAGATGGGGCTGGAGCTGATGGAGTCCCACTGTCTTGGAGTGAACATTTGTGGAGTCATAACTCCCTCAGAGCAACACAACAGTGTGGTTTTGCCATCCCCTCCTACAACTGAGCTGATATTGTAGCTGCAGCAGATGTACCTCAGCAGGACTGTTATCATGATGTCTCTTTGATGGGGCACCATTTTTCTGAAAAATTATGCTGTGTAAGCAACAATCCATAACAAAACCCAAACTGGTACAAGTTTCCTTTAAGGATCGAGGAACCCTTTCCCTCTCCTTCTTTCTCTAGTTTTTCCAAGAGGAGGATATATAGGTAGCACTGACCAGGTAGATGCTGTGGAAGGTGCCTTCTGTGGCTCTTCAGGTGCTCTGCAGATTTTGGAAGGGTCTCATCACTTGGGAATTGTTTCCATAACTCAGTTCCCTGATGGTGCTGTCTCTGAAGAAGGCAGAGCCCACAGCTTCCCCCTTTTTGAAAGCTGAGCCAAATTCCTTATTAGAGCCACCTCTCCTGAGCAGGAGGCCAACCAGCATCTCCTCAGATCAGCTGAGTGCTCAGAGCTGGGCTCTCCATTAATTCTCTCTTGGTTCCAGAAGCAGGAACAGCAGAGGCCACTGAATGCCTTGTCTGTATGAAGATCCCTACATTGTTGTTAAAAATATGCCCAAAGATTTCAAAAGGGTTTTCCCAAAAGTCTTATCTTCTGGGACTAAGTACTCCCAGTGCTCTGGGGGTTTGCTGGGATCAGTGAAATCTGTCCATGCTCTCCAGGGAGCAAAGCAAGGATCACAGACAGAACACCTGAGAGTATCAAAGGGCTTCTTGCAAGAGCATGTAGTGACAGGACAAGGGGGAAAAGGTTCAAACTGAGAGAGAACAGGTTTAGATGGGATGTTGGGAAGGAATTCTTCCCTGTGAGGGTGGGGAGGCCCTGGCACAGGTTGCCCAGAGAAGCTGTGACTGTCCCATCCCTGGAAGTGTCCAAGGCCAGGCTGGACAGGGCTTGGAGCAACCTGGGCTGGTGGAAGGTGTCCCTGCCCATGGCAGGGGGTGGAATGAGATGAGCTTTAAGGTCCCTTCCAACCCAAACAATTCCATGATTCTGTGATGAACAGAGACTTCTCCCAAATATCTACATTAAAGTCCAGGCCACAGTCCAGAGCACTGTCATTTTAGCTCAATATTGGATTAATCCCAAATGCTGCATGAATGTCTCCAGTGCAGAAGAGGGAAGGGTGGAAAGGTCCTGCTAAGAGCAGTTTTGGCCAGGCCAACTATTAGTTTGCATCAGCCAGTGGCTTTTGTGTGAGTAACAATGATTTTTGTACACAAAGGCAGCTTCTAAACCTTGCCAAACTTCAGCTCTCCCTGGTGGTCTTTGGGGTATCAGCACCGGGGCTCCAAGGGAAGCAAACAATGAGGGACAGGAATCAGCAGGGAACATTTTGAAATTCCTGGAAGGATTTTAGGTGTTGAAGGCCCTCAAGCTTTCAGTGGGAGTGCCTGTGCAGCTCTTGAGTGTTTCTCAGACTGCTGCCTTGCTCTCTTAGACTGAGCCACTCCACCAGAGGTGTTTCTCCCCTGCATTGTCAGAGTCTCTCTCCACCCTGAAAGCCAGCAGAGGAATTTCCACCTATTTGTCACGATGCTGAAGATCATTTTCTTTCTCACATCTCACTTCAGCTGCCTTTCCTGCTTTCTATTCACGCTTGTTATGATGTTTTACTCTGCCTAAGACAGTCCAAACCTTTAGCTGCATCTCTGGTCACTGAGGCACCAGTTCCCATCATCTTTAACCTGCTGTGTGATCGATGCCCAGCCAGGTCAGTGGGCATCTGTCCATCCTTTCCACAAGCTTCTGATGGGCTTTGGCACAGCAAAGCTGCACGAGGGGCCACGGCAGACCCCTGCAGCTGATTATTTTGGCACTAATTAAGGTGTGTGTCCTCCTCCTCTATAAGACAGGGCTTGGGAGCAACGTGATTTGTGAACACCAGAGCCTGACTGAGAGGCTTTGCAACAGCCAGAACACCCAGACCCAAAATATCCTCTGTGATGAAGGTGTTTGGGTCACTTTCTTCCTCCTGTGCCACGCCAGGCACCCCCTGCTTGTTTCCTTCTCCCTCCAGGGAGCTGTTGGTGAGTTGGGTATCCAGTAGAATATGAGTGTTGTTGGTACCTGCTCTGGTGGAATGAACAACAGAAGGGACATGGGAGGCAGATTTTTCAAAACAAAATAACACATGAAGGAGGGAAAATGACTGGATTAATTGGGAACACGTTGGTGCTCAGAGCAAGAAGGGAACAAGCAAGCTGGTGGTACAAAGAGTCTCACAGCTGAACTCCTGTCTTCTCCTTTCATGATTTATTACCTCATATTTTACATTACCACACTTAAAACCCTTCAGATGTCATCAGCATGTGTTATGGGCCAGGCCTGGCACTTTCCATTTCCAGGCACTGACCAGATCTCTGGAGGTTGCTCTGCTTCCTCCCTTTTCCTGACCATCAAATTCATTTGCAAAATAAAGACTTTCACTCCTGCATTATCAGAGTTCTTTTACCATCTAAATAAGCACAAGGCACAAGGAAATGGCTCATGCTGTCACTGCTTTTGTGCCATTATGTTAATCCTCCTCTTTAATTGCTACTTCTAACAATTATATTTTCCTGTATTTACACCACAACTCCTAAATAAACTTAGTCCTGCTGGAGCAGTGTTAGTAGCCAGGAAAAGGTTTTATCTGGGGAAGCCAGCCCTCAGAGATGATTTCTCAGCAGGCAGTGTGTTTCTAGCTGGGTGACTTATGAGCTGTGCTATTTCTTATTACCTTCTGTTTGTTTTTCCAGGCTGCAGACTCTTGGCTGTGGAGCTGATATCCAGCAACACCCAGCCCGTGGTGCAGGAATTCCAGAGTGAGTGGCTGTGCTGCCTGTGGAGATTTGCACCAGGCCAAAGAATTGGGGAAAATTCTTATTGGTATTTGGTTTCTTGTGGGAGGCAGGACCACGAGAGCCTGGGATTCAGAGAAGTGCCTAAGAACATGTCTTTGGTTCACCCTGTTTAAAATGGTTTATTGAGGCCCCCTGCGAGCCATTGGCATTGCCAAGTGTGTGCCTAAGTGCTTTGTTGAACTGGATCCCAAAAGAAGGAAAAGCAGTTGCCTTGCAATTAATACACTGAAGAGGGAGTCGGGAGATTTATATTTTATCTTGGTCCTCTTAAACCTGCACTGGGATTCTGGGAAGCCACCTCTCATGCCGTGTTCTGTACAGATGAGATGCCAGTGCCAGCTTCAAAGGGGAGGGTGTTTTCTGGATTTATCCCCAGGAATCATGGTCTCGGTGCATCACCAGACACTGCCCAGGGAGATTGTGCCTCCCTGACTCACGCTGCAGCTCAGAGCAGCAGCAGGACAGTGCTGTGGGCTCACCCTGTCATCAGGGCTTGTTTGCCATAAGTCACAGCCTGCAGGGAACAGTGTGTTCATTCCTCTCCGTAGTTGATAGCTGCTTGATTATTATTTTTGCTGGCCAAAATCCATCTTCCCCAATAGCCCCTGGAACCCAGCAGTGTTTCTGTTTGTCAGATGAAAGGGAAGGCTCTGCTTTGTGGGCAGCATCTCCTAATAAAACACTGAGTGAGGCTGCCTAAAGCAGAGCTAAAATACAGCTGCTTCCTATTAATCTGTATTCCCATTATTTCTCCTGCTAGGTGTTGAGCTGTCCTGCATCATTAAATCCACTGTGACGCCAGATCCCAGGATCGAGTGGAAGAAAATCCGAGACGGAGAAACCTCTTACGTGTTTTTTGACAATAAAATGCAGGGTATGAAGATTCTTTGCTCTTAGATTTCCAAAACAGCCTCAGAAGCAGCACAATGGAGAACAAACAAGGCTGTGAAAGGCAGGAGCTCTGGCTGTCTTGCTGCTTTCTTCTGGAACAGAGTCCAGCAGTCAAAGTGCAGGATGGAGAGGGAGCAGGATGTTCTTTCCTCCCTGCCCTTATTATTGACAGGTCACAGTAGGGAGCCACAGAGAGCTGGAGAAGGTAAAAGATACTTCTTGGGTAGGAGAGCAAATGCTGCAGCTTCCCTCGTGCAGAGCCTGCTGGGCCCTGCGTGGTCACTGGGTGTCTGAGCTCTCAGGAGCAGGCACTGACCCCTCCTGTCTTTCCGTGTGACATCCGAGGGCTCCACCTGCCCTTCAGAAGGGATGTGTGTGTGGAGCTGTCAGTGCCCACTGCTGAGGCAGCACAGGGCTCTGCAGCGTCCTGGGAGCATGAGATTAGAAGCAAACTCCTTGGCTTGACAGGAAAACTCCGATGCCAGTAGGGCCTGACTCCATTTGGAATTACTCCAGCACTTTAGATGGGACCAACAGCCACATCCAAATGAATCTTCCAAAGGGGACAAGGCCTGAAGCTGTCTTGGAAGTTGGATTTTGCCACTCTTTGTGAGATTTGGAATGGTGCTTTCCAGTCCATCCTCTTCCACGGTTGGCAGCATTGCTTTCCTTTGTGGCCTTTCAAGCATCAAGTTCCTTTTAGGTTGTTCCCTCGACTCCAGAGTCGAAGTTCAACCTCCTAATTTATATGCCCAAAATGAGCCTGTGTGACTTCCCTTGGTTTCTTCCTCCCTCTTTCCTCTGTATCAGGAGACTTTGCGACCCGGGCAGAGATCCTGAGCCGGACATCCCTGGTGATCAAGAACACCACCCGGATGGACACGGCCACGTATCGCTGCGAGGTGGCAGCGCCCTCCGACACCAAAAGCATCGACGAGATCAACATCCAGCTCACGGTCCAAGGTACCACACCCACCCCAGACACCTCTGCAAGAGGGACCAGAAGGGGCCGTGGGTCTCTCCAGCGTCCAAACTGCAAATGACAGAAAGTTTTGACGCTTTCTTAGCACGGTTATGGAAAGTAGGTCAGAAAAGACTTAGTTCTGCTCAGCCCAGTGCCATTCACCTGCTTTGTGTCGCCCCACAGTGAAACCCATGACTCCCAGATGCACTGTGCCTAAAGCTGTACCTGTTGGCAAGTCAGCCTCTCTTCACTGCCACGAGAATGAAGGTTTCCCAAAGTCCACTTACAGCTGGTACCGCAACAGCGAGCCTTTGTCACCCGACACGAAAGCCAAACCCCACAACTCCTCCTACACCCTGAACCCCGCCACAGGCACTCTGGTAATGCCCTGACAGATGTCATCAAGGCTTGTTTTGCTGGATAGCTTATTTTTAAGGTCGATTATAAAAGAAAAGAAAACATTGCCTGGCTTTCGAGGAAGGAATAATTTGAAGGTGGTGAGGTGGTCTAGGATCTGGGTGAGGTGGGAAAGGGAAGACTGATGGAAGGACATCCTAGTCCATTGATTCTGATCACTGCTGATGCCACTTACCTGTTTAGAAAGAGGGAAGATGTCTCACCATGAAGCTCAGGAGAAATGCATTTTTAGATACGTTTTTATGCCCTCACAGTGCTTTGTTTCTCATGTCCTGCTCCCTTCCCTTGATCCTTTTCTCCTCGGCAGGTTTTCCACG